TCGACAATGTACTGAGGGGACAATGCTGTGGATGGCTCCCATATCTTGTGGTCAATGTTATATTGAGTGGACGCGAGATCGACAGACGAAAAGGCGTAGCAGGATCCACAAGGGCCCTGGCTTCTGACCGCAGATGTGACGTTGCACTGGAGCCATGAGAAGGCTTTTGGGACACTACGAAGTAACTTGTCCAACGTCTTATTGCCCATGGTATAACGCCTGCTCCGTTTATGCACCTTGATTCCGGTAAATTTGTCCAAAAACTCTTCATATGTCCAATCGCTGTACTCGTTTGCCTCAAACTTCAGGTTTGTACGATACAGCCGCCACTGAAAAAAGTCAACTAGACACAAAGATTCCTGGAATGTTAAAATCCGCATTTCTTCTTCTTTTTTGTCCTTGTACTTTTTGTGAAATTTCTTCTTGAACTCATCGAATATTTGCCTCAATTTGCAATGCACGCAGGCCGGTCTGCGCTCAGCCGAAGGCAATGAACGTTCCGCGTAACCAATGAAGTACGTTGTGGAGCGAGGTTTAAGACGTTTCCTTCGTGTTGCTAAAAATTTGAATATTGGTTTATAATTTCGAATAACTCACATCTCTTAGTTTTATTACCAAAGGTAGAAAATATTACGTAAGAAATGAGTTTAAGAACGAATACAAACTTTGGAAGCATATTTGTTAATAAAATTGTCACATGAAATCATTTATATTGGCATCGTTAAATTATATTCTAATAAATAAAAGCTTCCATTTCAGGTTTTTGAACACAAACCACAAATAAATACACTAGTTTAAGTAACTAAATTTGACTGCACTTTAATACCGATGCCTACGTTCGAGGAGGACGTACTGTAACTCTGGAAGCCCAAGAGATTGAATATACTCCTTTCAACTGGACTTTTCGAGCATTTTCTTCAGTATCATCGTCGCTGATGACGTTAAGCTACCTTGCCTCGATTATTTCATAAATACCTATCGACAGAACTACAGAAAAACATTTTTAGGCTCATAATGCAACAGGAAAATTGTCCATGCCTCACAATATGGTCTAAATGTGTGAAAATCGACTATAATAGCTATCAGTAATACATTATTGATCGCATTAATTTAAGGGTTTCACTAAACTTGGAACTTTGATGATATGACAGAAATTAGTTACTGTTCAATCATGTCGTGTTAGCATTATCGCATAAACTAGAAACATACACGCTTTAGAGTTCTTGCAAAACTCATTCCTGGAATGTAACGATGACAAGCAGGTTTATAAATCGGCAGGTGAAACAAAATTATCACACTTAATAGAGGCGATGCATCGTTCGCCGTGTAAATCCGGTATCAGTAGTTTAAAGATAACATACAATACTATTAAAATAAAAATGTTATAATCTAAATAAGGGCACGAAACGGTTTTAAAAATGTCCCCTTCCAATT